GCTGACGCACTTTGTATAAAATGAAGGAATGAACTAAATGCGCTGTGTTGACTTCAAAAATTTTAGATTCTAGAGATACAATTATTGCTGAATTGAAAGCTGATCCTGAATTTGGAAGTATCTATGCTTATTTGAAAGACCCCGAAAGCTTTGAGCACACAGATATCGATGCGATAAGAAATAGAGCAAAAAACTATGAAATAATAGATAATTTATTATTTTATACGAAAACAACAAACGAAAATCTTGAGTATAAACCAGTCATCCCAGCCTCGCTTCGATTAAGCATTTTGAAGGAATTACACGACGCGAAAACAGCGGGTCATTTAGGGGTCAGAAAGACTTTAAAAAGGGTACGCGAGGCGGTATATTTCCCGCAATTATACAAAATAGTAACTGGCGTATGTCAGGTCCTGCAATCAATGTCAGTTAATAAATGATATTAATTACAGCCCGGCCGGGTACTTAAATAGCATTCGCGCTACATTTCCGAATGAAATTTTAGGCATAGATCTTCTTGGTCCTTTCCCCCAGAGTGAGTTAAATAAAAATCGTTTTCTTTTAGTAATTGTAGATCATTTTTCAAAATGGACAGAAATTGTTCCACTTAAACGCGCGTCAGCCAAAACAGTCGCAGATGCATTCTTACACAGATACATTTTAAAATACGGTGCACCGATAAAAGTCATTAGCGATAACGGTAAAACAATTCATTAGTCCAAATATTTGAAAACATATGCACTGGACTTGGCATACGCCATATCAAAATGGTTCCGTATAGACCACAGGCAAACATAGCAGAAAGAGTTAATAAAAATTGTAAAAATAATTCGAAGTTACGTTAGCACACATCACAAGCGCTGGGATGGCTACATAAATGAGTTAGCTTAGCTTATGCTTTAAGAACGGCAAATCATGATACTACGGGAAAAAACTCCAGCAGAATTATTTTTAGGACGAAAGTTAATTACGCCATTAGATAAATTATTCTTTGTGCAACAAAGAGAGCAAGAATTTAAACAAAAGATGTGCAAAAACTTATTGATCAGGCGGTTAAAAGCTCGGATACGGCAAGAAATAGGCAGAAAATTATATTATGATAGAAAACGCCGTGAAGCAGATTTTAAAGTTGGGGATAAAGTGTTGAAGCGGAAATTTTCTTTATCAAGTGCCCCAGACAATTTTACTGCAAAGTTAGCTCCAAAATTTGAAGGCCCCTATGTAATTCAGGAAATCAAGGGAGTCGTATTGTACCTTAAGAACGAGAGAGGGGAAATCTGTAAAGCAAGTCCCGACCAGGTGAAAAAATATTATAATCAAAATGATTTTGAAATCCTTAAAAGTTTCTTGCAGGACTCAAGCGTAAAAGAAGTAGAAGGTCCAGAAATAACGTCACCCGTTCCACCACCCAAGAAGCAGAGAACTGAAGAGAACCTAGCCCTTCTACAAGTCATGCGACGGTACCGAAAAGAAGAAAAAATTTCAGACTCCAGCATTTAAGAAAAACAAGAAATCAAAGCCGCCGCGTAAAGAAACTTTGGTAAAGGAAAAAACCACTACAACTATCGCAGTAGAAATTCTACATCAAGGAGAACGCACTTCCAGGGCCAGAGAGTCAGGTGCAAACAAGGCCGCCGTTCCGAGAACTGAAAAGACAGCAGGAGGAACGAAAAATACGGACCACAGAAGAAATTCAAGCAAGATCCAGACCGGAGGACCAAGACCAGCCGTCCAGGGGCAAAACGGAAAAGACAGCAACCCGACGACTACCACTCCCCAAGAGGCCAGCATGCAGAGGGCAAAAGAGAAAGTAACATGGACGACACTCGAAGAAATCAAAAAAGGAGATTGACACGTCCATGAAACCTATAACTTGGGATCAATTCTGCCAGAAGAGATGACGGAGTTTCAAGCATCATCGAAAACTCAAAGATAAGTTAAAATCTTCTATAATTTTTTTCTTTTGTTCCGAAATGTTATGCGTAAATACGAAGTTCTATGTTTTGACGAAAGTCAATATGTCTCGGTTGAGACTTAGTTTTGTTTTACTTTATTTAGCTAAGGCAAAAGTATTATTTTCTTTAAGTGTAAAATCTAAGAACAAGCAGTTTCTGTTGGTCGAAAGACTAATTCTTTCTGTTATGTTAAAGCCAAAATTTGGCCGAAGATAAAAATAACTTCGTATTCTTGTATTAATAAGAATTTAGTTTCAGTGCCGCCAGCTTGGCGAAGAATGAGTAAAGTAAAAATTTTATTTTTCTCTTATTCATTTTATGGTAAATTGTAAAAATCATATGTATTAGAATTTTGTAAATATACGTAAATACTTGAAAGTTATGTAAAAGTAGAATTTAGTCTAGAAGCATAAAATTTTAGATGCTAAAAGTAAATGCTCAAAAGCAATGAATTCAAAATTTAAGTATTAAACTGTAGATAAAATCATGCTTTAGAGCGAAAGCCTGCATGTCTAAAGATGAATGAGGGGGAAGTTAGAATGAATGTGTTTTGTAGGGTTCTCCACCTACACTTGAATTTTAAGAATGTTAAAGTAGCTCATCGAGTTGTAGAATGTCGGAGTAAGGTGTGTCTATTTGGTCGTTGAATTCTAACAAATCATTGTGGTTAGGGGAAGTGTTGTAATACTAAAACACGAATATTCCCGTTTGACACCACACATGGTGGAGAGCCAGGGTAAAGTTAAATTCATGTTTGAATACTTGAATGAATGTGAATTAAGCAGTAACTAAGGAAAATAAAATCGTTCAAAAACAAAAATTTATTCAGTGTCAAGAAAGTGTAAATTATAATGTATTTAGAAATACTGATACTTATTCCTTCCAGATGCTGGAAGGAAGAGAAAAAGATTGATTGCTGAAGTCCAGAAAGGTTGCTGTAAGAAAGAGATTTAATTTAAGTATCTACAGAAATTTGTAAAATTTTGTTACAAAAGATTTTTTTATGTAAACGAGAGGCTCTTAAATTTAGTTCAGAATTGTGGAAACTTTTCAACAGGTCGTTTCTAGGACCTGCTTCCAAGTTTTCCAAATTCTGGCAGCGGCAAAAATGTAGGGTTTATATTTATTTTAACTAACATTTATTTTAAGTTTAAACTATCTTTCCTGTCAAGCCTTACTTTCCCCTGGAATTGCCAATGCCAGAGTATGTAAATTTTAGTAGAACGCGCAAATATTCAAATTTCAGCGGAAGTAACTGAGTTTAAATAGAAGGAAACGAGTTGAGGTGTGCTTCTTGCTTGCGAGCGTGAAGGCTTGGTAGAAATTGAAGAACGCGCGTTTCGGCCTGTGTGCTTGCCTCGGCAGATTTTGTAATCTTTCAACTGCTTAATCAGAAGTTTGCTGAATCTCAGCGGTATCTTAGAACGCGGTTAGGTTAGTTTACGATCTAGAGCCTCGTAGGTAGTGATCTCGTTATTTATTCATCCAGTTTCAGTTTATTTTTATTTAAACCGCCGGGTCGGCGTAGTTTGTGAGCGTCAAGTGCACGCATTGTATTTTAAAGTTGAATAAAAAGGTTTAAACCCTTCTTACGTTTTGTGTAATTCACACTTAGTAGCAGTCACTACCACAGTTTGCTGACAAGTTGGGGCCTCTGGATCTTACAAGGTCATGGAATGTAGCCAATTCATCCAGATTCAATTTTTTTAATGAGGTATACTGAAAGTTTTGTGTGGCATATCTGATATGTTGCTGCAATGGACTGAGAAAGAATAGCTTGAGATACACAAATGGAAAATGAAATCCCAACACCAAGAAGGAATTGTGCTAGATAAACAAAATTTGTGAGACATGTTTGTACGTCTGAAAGTCATCTATTCAAATTTTGAGCTAGACAAACAGGTGTGATGTTAGTAGCACCACTATAAATACACAAATAATTTTGACTTTAAATATATGACATAAACTTCATGCACTGTATTTACCTTCTGGACTGCGTGTGGTGAGTGAAATTTGTGTTAGAATGTCATTAAGAAAATGAAGAAGACAGTATCAGCAGCTTACTGAATTTGAACAAAGTTGTGTACAAGAAGGTGGATTTTTTATTTCCAATATTGCAGAAAGAATTAATAGGGATATATCCACTATGCATGGATGTTGGCAGCAGCGATCATGGAAAGGCAATGGCCATAGTCCATACACTTACCACCACTCAAAGGGAAGATACCATATTCGTATGGTGACCAGATTTTAACATTGGTAAAGTGGGACACCATTGACTAGGGGTGGAGGGGGATTAAACATTTAGTCTATACAGAGCAACACAAATTTTCATAGGACAAAAAATAGTATTGTAATATATTTTCAAAATTTCAACACAAGTTCAATTTACAAATGCAAGAAATTATGTATAGTATTATTTTATTCTTTGGTATATTTCTCATTTGAGTGAATTTTGTTTAGTAGATTGCTGTCGTTGTTTGAAAGGTCATAAAATTTTTCACAAAAATTTGTTAAATTATATTTCACACATAAAATGGCTTTCAAAGTCTCAACACTTAATTATGATTTTTCTGATGTCGCACTTTATTTACCATAGAAAAAAGTAATCGGTCACAGCATTAGTTCCTGGAGTATTCTGCAGTTTTTAGTGCATTTTTGTATGGAACATGGTTTTTTCCAAAATGATGAAATATTTCTAACCATTTGGATTCTATTGTGAACGCTGATGTCCAGGATTTAAGCTTTTCCTTATCAATATATATTTTAATAATCATATCTAATTAAAAAGATAATTTTCAGAAATATTACTGTATGGGAAATTTTGAGTAATATGATTGAATGATTTTTGCACATTCTAATTAAGTTCTTGTTTTAATATATTCCCTAGCTTGCCGTGCATTCTTTCTAAAAATTGGGACATTTTTAAAAAGGCGTGGGCAAACTGCTAAAAATCGGGACTGTCCTGACAAAAGTGGGACATCTGGTCACCTTACATATTCGTCACATGTCTGTGGCATTTCTCACTGCATCTGCAGCAGGCATTCAAGCTTTTGTTGGCACCACAGCAAACTATAACAAATTGATTACTTGAGACACCTTTAAAACAGATGCCTTGTAGCATCCATACCACTAACTGTACATCACTATATGCCATTTCATTTGTTTCAAGAGAGCTGATTAAAGGATGGAGTGGAGATTTATTGTGTTATCAAATGAGGGTTGTTTCTATCTTGGTGCAGTGGTGGCTGTATGTTTGTTAGAAGTAGCCTAGGTGAGCACTTGAAACCAAGTTTTCTGTGACATAAGATGCATTGGACCTACACCAGGACATATGGCTTGGAGAACAATTTCCTATGACAACAAGAGGATTCTTGTCTTTATACCACACCCTTTGGGAGTAAAATTGCATAACAGATTAGTGACTGCACCTGTTGTACTAGCATTCTTTGACAACTTTCCTGAGAACATTTTCCAATAGGATAATGCTGCATACCACTGCTATCACCCAGTGTGCTGTACATGTGCTAACATGTTGCATTGACCTATGAGATCTGCTGGTCTTTCTTCCATTGAATATGTATGGAACGTAATTGGATGGCAAATGCAGTATCATTCACAGTCGCAAAAACCGTTGCTGATTTGACCGACCAAATGCACAAAATGGCATACGGTACTTGTATGGCACATGCATGTTTGTATGCTTTCATTTAATATTATGATTGCAGTGGTTAAGATACCACCATTTGATATGTGAAATGGCTCTTCTCACTCGTACTTTACATTTTGAAACATTAATCAAATAAATATGTTATTTAAACAAATGCTTTGCTTACATTTCATTTGATTTCATTTCATTGAACTGATTTCTTCTTAGTTTTGGGATTTCATTTTCCATCAATGTATTTATAACATGCTAAGTACAATGTGTCATTTTTCATTGGTAAAGGGCACTGCGGAGATAGGGGAAGAGTGACTATGAGAGAAGAGGTGGTAGCAGATCATGCTTGAAAAGAGAACTGGAAATGTCAGTATGCTCCATCTCTTTCAGTATTTAAGTTGTGGTTTTGAGTGTTTTTATTATTTACATTTTTAAATTATAAAAACATTAAATTTTATAATTATATTTTAAAATTATTTACTTTTAAATTAGCCTCTTAAATGCCACCTGGGTATAGAATGGATAATTCATCTAGTGTTAGTATTGTAGTTATAAATCATTACAGCATAAATACAATAAGATTTATTTAAGCATCTTTGGTGAAGTGTTACAAGAGTTCATTTTGTTTATATATTTTTTTACTAATTTGCATCTATCATACAACAAAGTTTCAATGTAAAATGCACATGAAAATATTTTTGTAGCTATAAAAAATGAATGAGAAATGTTTATATAGCTAAAAGAAAGTTTACAAAGTTTATGCTACTTTAAAAACAAAATTTATTTGGAAAAATATCCAGGATCTTTTGAATATTTTTCAACATTCAGAAATTCTAGCTATCTAGCTTTTTCTTGAAAACAGGCAGTATAGGAGAACAGACAAGTGTTTACAGATAAAAAGATGTCTTATAAGTCTCATATAAAATTAATGTAGAGTCGAAATTTCATAAGGTGTGTGTATGATGGCCTATCGAGTTCTTTTGAAGAACTATGGAATGAAAGAAGAGGATTACTTATGTCTTGTCATTTATTCAGTAACATGCTATTCATGGCTAAGACTTTCTGAAGGATATTATTGTTAGTAATGAGATATGTATTCACTTTTACACCTCAGAATTTAAATTACAGACATGAAATGGAAGCATCCAGGCTACTTAGAAAGCAAGAAATTTAAGGTGGTGCTGTCTGTTGGTGAAGACTACTGCATTTTTGAGTCAGGAAAGCATGTTGTTGGGGCAGGAGAGGCAGCGGCCATCATATATGCAGATGTGTAGGATATAATACTGAAATTTTTATATTATCTTCAGTTATTATCATTTGAACTTGATCTGACTAAAGGTGTATTATTACCCCATGATAATGTTTACCCAAGCATGATCATTTTAGTTCAGGAATTTTATGCAGCATTATTATATAATCCTCACCTTATTGATTTTCACTTCCTGCCAGCTCTCAAGAAACCACTTAATGGCCACAGGTCTTCACATGATGAAGATACCCAAGAAGGGCAATAACACAATGTCTAGGATTAAGACATCACATGTTACGAGATAGGCTTTGAAATATGATTTAAATGTATACTAATATGTAAATAATCATGGAAACTACACGGAAAAAGTATCTGCCACACAGCAGAATGTATAATGCTTTACATTCAAATAAATTTTGTTCTTGAAGTAATAATCCTTGTAAACTTTCTTCAGTTTCACACTTATTTACAATGTGAACCTGAGAGATCTTAAAAATATAAAATTATTGTCTTAAGCAAGGCAGTCAGTAATAGAGCAGTAGCTGAATTGTTAAAAAATAATTTTTAAAATAGTGTTTTTCTTTTAGAAACTGCAGGATATGGCTAGTAGCTGTCCAAATGTGCATATCATCAAAGCAGGTATTATTCATAAATAGAATTATTCGTTCAAGATGTAATAGATGATTCTATATAAACTTTAATTAAATCATTTTTTAGACATGATGGATTTTGATAACTATGGAGATATTGTGTCTAATATTCAGAAGCATATTAAATCTGGTGGAGTAAACCTTCTTATAAATAATGCAGGAATGATGATTAGAGATACATTATTGTCTGTGAAAAGAAAAAACATCATGGAGAGTTTTGAACTGAATGCTGTTGCACCTCTTTTATTTACTAAGGTAACTTAATAATGTTTTTATGTACTTTTTAATTAAAGTAGGCTCACTTTAAAATTAATGTTTATTGGAGATCTTAAAATCTAATTATTTATAATAGTAATCTAAAAAAAAATGTGATTTTTCTCTCACTGATGAACTGATATTCAATTGCTTATGTAAAGTATTCTTTTGAAATTATAAGCCATTGTTCTTTTTATTCTGTAAAAAAAAATTGCCAATTTGTGCTAATGTGTTAGTGCTACAGTTTTTAGGTTATTAACAATAAAAATATATAAACATTCTTTATATTTAAAAAAATTCTTTATTTTATTGCTTAGTGGTCCAGTGAACTTTGATTGTAAGCGTAAATTAACTGAATTTTTTTTTTTTTTTTCAATGGCTGTGTGACTGTTTATTAAGCAATTCATCTGGAATAGTCAAATCCCTTGGCCATTAACTGCCTCACTACCGATAATGTTGTCAATGGTGTTCCACAATTAGTAGACTAAAATTAAATTCACCAAATGGGAAACAGATAACTACAACCATCCATGTCTTCTCTGGGATTAAAATCCAGGTTCATTGATATGGCAACTGATGCTGGTAATTATCATACTAAACAAGGTGACTATATGCTCTAAATGATCAATTATTGTAACTCTCATTTGACAATGCAGATGTTAAAACTCCCCAAGCATTATCAAGACTATAGCTTCCTTTACACATAGTATCAGCTTTCCTTCAGAAGTCTTTTCCTCTTAAAACTTCCAAATAAGCTTTTTCAGTAAAAATGGGAGATTAAACAAGCTTTCAAAGTGAATTTTTTAAAGGGTAAAACAGACAACTACTGTACATAATTGAATAATGTTTTTTTTTCTTCTTCTTCAGCAATAAGCAGATATATACTTTTCTTAATGAAAAGATGGAGCCAAAATAATATCCTTTCCTTTTATAAAAGATCAAAGAGAAGAAAACGTGTTTTCTAGCGCTTAAAAATATTGTTAAATTGCTTAGAATACAGCTTGTGATAGAAGATAAATATAACTCTTTTATTGCAAAATTCATGGAATGTTAAATTTAATTTACAGCACAAAATTTCTATTGGGGAATTAGGTGTGTGGAAGATAGTGACAACTTATTAAAACAAATTTCCCATTTAAGCAGAAAAGTGTTTTTAAAACTGTATATTTGAATCTTCTAGACCAGTGGTACCGGTGGTCCATGAAAACTTTTTGATGGGAAATTGAGACATTGCATTTTTATGAAGATTCAGTTTAAAAAATGATTAGTAACAAAAACCTATTACGGAATATGGATCATACGGTTTTTTTTTTTTTTTTTTTTTAATTTAGCTACTTTTTAATTTACTAATTTTAGCAAAATTCCTTCTGAATTAAGCGACTTTTTAGCTACTTTTGCAGATGTATCTAGTGACATTTGAAAGTGAGAGTTGGCATCCATGGATATGCTGCTGTTGTTAATAGCGTGAACTAGAATTCTCTTTCCTTTTGAATTGCAACTCTTATGCTATTGTAGTCTTAGAACACAGTTTCTCTATGTCAATAGGCAACTTGATGGATTTTTATGAGAACCCTCTGCATTCTTGTTTATATGCGTCCCTGAATTTCCGTTTTGTTTCGTCTAACGCTGATCGATCGCACCTGCTGAGTAACGATGATTATTATTTTACACATATTAAAATGGCGCCTTACACTATCATTTATTGATATTGCTTTGTGTTTTCCGTTTTTTTTGAATGCTTTTCAGGAAGATCCTTCCATGATATGGAATGGTGAAGCTTTCGTACAGAAAGTAAGATTTTGTACTTTCCTATATTTTTCAATGTGAATGAAATATGTGTAGTTTGCTGATTATTATTGTATAAATGTATTTATCTTTTTTAAAATTCATATTAGAACCGCTGTTCTAGACTATTTCCAAAGTGACAGGAATTTTCTCAAAAAAGTGATAATTGGTAAAGAATACTGGATTTTCTGAGGTGATTTGGAAATCTGTGTACTAGTCATTTTAGTTTTTAGAATTACTAGTAAGCAATTTCCATGTCTACAAAAGCAAGGATAAACAAACCCAGAATCAGGTTTAATGCTATTTACTTTATTTTAGAATCGGAGGATTATTCACAAGGAATTTATGCATTATGACAAACTGTGAATCAAATGTTGCTATTCATGACATTTTCAAAAGAGGGTTGCTGATGGATAGCCATGAATTCATGGCACTTGAGTATTACAGTATGATAATTTCCTTAGCCACAGAATTTTACACTCAGTATTTCCCAACCCCTTTTCTCCAGATCTGAATCTGTGTGATTTTCTTCTCTCCTTTTTGAAAATTTACTTGAAAGGTCACCATTTCGACAGGGTGGACAGGATCCGGAAAACTGAAACTGTCTAGTTCATGGTGATCTACTTCAAGCAGTCCAGCTGTAATGCAAAAATTGGGAGCAGGTTCTCCGACAGTGTAGTTTTCTAGAAGAACTGACTATCTTGATGAAGATACCATGATTTATAACTTATGAATGTGTGCCATATTTTATAAAAACAGTCTCGTTACTTTTCTACCACAAGATGCATACTTTCTAAAACGACTTTAAAAAACAAAACAAAATATTATAGTTCATGTAAAATTCAGCAACAACATATTAATGACTGCTTATGACTTATGTATTTATATTATACCTTAATATAATAAAATAAAGTTTTACATATGTTTCATTTTGATATTACATCATAGGATTTTTTTTCCACAAATTCTTAGTTAAAAAGGCAAACTAAAATATGTAGGTAACCTAAAAATTAATTCTATTACAGGCACTGCTACCTTTGCTAAAAAAAGCTGACAGTGGAACATTCCCATTAAATGTTGGAAAATCTGCCATACTTAATATATCTGCACACTTAGGCTCTATAGGAGAAAACAACAGTGGAGATTATCTGTCATACAGACTGAGCAAGGTAAAAGGAAAGATTTAAGCAATTATTTCTGATTTAAAAATCTTTACTTATCTTTCTAGGCTATCTTAAAATATAAATTTAAAATTTGGCTTGTAGACGATTATTAATTTGTATCAGATGCCAAAATAAGTGAAGTATTTGGGTGTTCGAGGTTAGAAGCTATTTATCCAACTTTGCAGAGTATCATATGTTCAGAAACTCAGTACGGCAAAATCCAGATGGATTTTTTACAGATAACTTAGGACTAAGAACTTAGGTTTGAAACCTAAGTTGTATGCAGATTTTGTAGAAATGATGGTTTAAAATCATCAGTTGAGTGGTTAACCTGTATTGAGAAGGACCTGAAGTATTAATTAGGGGCTACAACAGACATTAGCCCTTCAATGTTCTAGTAATAAAGAAGAAACATCTGGTGTTTACATATTTGTAGAAGACTTTAATTAATTTAAAATGTAAGAGTATTTTTTTTTTTTTTTATATTTTTTTTTATTCTTTTTTTTTAATATTCAGTGTGATAGCCTTTTTTTCTGAACTATAAGTCTGCACCGTGATTTCCATGACAGAAGGGCTTTTAACAAAATTTCTAGGTGCATTTATTTCCATTCTTCTTCCATTGCTTTCCAAAGTACATCGGTAATGGTAGGTTTCCACTTAAAAAGAGCTCTTTTTAAGAGACCAGAGACAGTCCATAGCTGAAATGTCAGGGCACCTTGTAGGAGTACATTAAAAAGGTGCAATACCTGTATCAACCTCCGAAAGTCACTTGAGTACAAAAATAGAATTTCTTCAGTAAATATCTGGTGCAAAATTTTCTCTTGATATACACTGAGATGATTTTGACAGTTTGTCCGTCTCATCTTATTTTTAATTTCCTATTGTGAGAGAATCATGTGACTATCATAAACCTTTACTGAAACCTTCTTAGCATTGACGGAACCAGTTTTGTAAATTTTTCTTTCGCTAATAAATAGATCTTTTTTTGTTGCAGTCATTTACATAAATCCATGCTCCATCGAGGGTCATGATGTATTTCCATTTATCTCCTGCTACCTAATTTTCATACAGGGTTCTACAAATTCTTGCCTTGGGAAAAGCTAGTGAGCTTTCTTAAGTTAGCTAGTGAGTTACTTTATTAGCTTTCTTAAATCGTAAATCTTGGTCTATTAATTATTATTGCTACAGGTGTATTTAAAGATTCTGCAATTGTGTCGGTTTCCTCTTGCTACCACTGATTAAACTTTAAAAACAATATATACCTTTTCAGGTATTCATATATGGTCTCCTTTTCATGTAGAAACAATGATGACCATTTTTCCTTTTCTAATTAATAATATTGCTTATTTTGCACTTAGAAATTTTAATACTATGCATTTGACAACTTTTTTTGGAATAAGAATATTTCTCTTCAGAAAGTGCAAAAACATATCCTTCAATCTACAGCTTGTTTACATGCAACATTTTGAAAGAAGAATAAATTTAAAAGTAGCAGACAATGTTTCTCATTTCAAATACTGAGCTGTTGCCAGAAATTTTTATTACAAATCATTTGCTTTTTAAAAATTCTTCATTGAATTCATTTTAAAAGTATGTAAACACCCTCTGGGTATCTTCACCCAAACTTAAAAAATTCAGTTTACTGTATAGGTGTGTTTTTATTAAAGTACTCAAAAATGTAAAAAATGAATTATTTGTTAGGTGATGCATAAATGATATTTTATTATATATAAATACCTCAATGATAAACTTCTGTTATTTATTTTCAGGCAGCAGTAAACATGGTTACAAGAACTCTTGCAGAAGAGTTAAAACCTTCAGGTATATTTATTATGGCTTTGCATCCTGGCTGGGTGAAGACAGATATGGGAGGCGATGCTGCACCATTAACAACAGAAGTTAGCGTAAATGGAATGCTAATTGTTTTGGCTAAAGCAGAAGAAAGCCACAGAGGTTTATTATTCAGTAGTAAAGGACACAAAATACCTTGGTGATAGCACAGACTATATTTTAATACACGAGATTCTAGTATAGGGATGGCATTACTTATCACAGGCGAAATTTCAGTTTCATAAAATTATATTTTTGTGACAGTTGTGAAATTTATATTTAACTTTGAAATTGTGCATTTATTTTTGTATCTGTATTCTTTTTTCACATCTTGTATCACTCTAAATAATTCATCTTAATACTGCTATAAATTTAAGTTAGTGCAGTTTTAATAAAATTGTGTAGTAAGTCACTATTAATTCACACAGTTGTAAGTAAAATATCCATATTTGCAAATGCATTACTTTTTGAATAAATTATTAGGACAAGCTGCATAACTTATTTTCTTCATGTACTGTGACATAACTAAAATTAAATAGGGGTTAGAATGAAACTTGATTTCTGAAAGCATTAGAATTTTGAAAATTTCCCTTATGTATAAGATATTTCATAATATTATAGCAATTAATATATGCTTTTTCAAACTACACTGCACAACATGATATTTTCAGTATATTCCAAATGTATCAAATGTGTTAAAAATTAATGAACTAAAAAAACTAGTTTTTGCTAGGCAATCTTTAACTAAAAACGCTTAAGCTATATAAAAAACATTACAACTGAATCATAACTGTACATCCATTAGGCCTACATCTACTATGGCTGATGGAGATGAAAGTAAACGAAAATGCAACAACTGTGATTGTCGCCACAGGCGGTTAGCATCAAAATTCCTCTTTTTTGGAAACCGACCCAAAATATGGTTTCTTCAGATCGAAGCTCAATCCCACATTTCTGAAATTATGATTAATCAAACAAAACACAGTTATAATCAGTTCTATTGAAGCAGGGACATTGTCACAAATCACCGATATTCTCACCACATCCCCAGACAGTGGCAAATATCTGGCCATTAAAAAGAATCTTATTGAAATTTTTGCCAATTCTGAAACAGAAAACTCAGAAACTTCTGACCAAATTAGAACTGGGTGATAAGAAACCATTCCAACTCAAGTCTCAGATGAATTTTTGAAAACATTGTGGATGCAATGACTACCACATAATATGTGGAGCATTTTATTTGTAATCAGCGATGATTTGTCTAAACTATATACATTGCTGACAAAATATGGGAATTAAATCCCAGTCCACCCCAGGTTAGCTTGTATTATTTCTCCACCATCTGATAAAATTATAACCCAAGATCTACAGAAACAGATATCAAACTTGAGACTGCAGATAGCAGAAATGAATAGGCGTAGAAATTCCCAGTCCAAAAAGATGAAGATACAATTAAATTCAAGAAATCATTCCAAAAATAACAGTGACCCAGATAACTGTTATTTTCATCAACGCTTTGGTGAGAGAGCTTACAAGTGCACCACACCATGCAAATACCAGGTTTCAAAATAGGAAACTGAATCCCTGGCTTTCGATGACAAGTGGAAGTTAAGGGGGGGGGTCCAGCTGAGTTGTCTATATATTCATGACAATGCATCAGCAACCCATTTTTTAATTGACACTGGAGCAGAAATTTCGGCTATCCCACCATCACTATCAGAAAAAAGAACTGTGTCTAAGCTTGCGCTATTTGTAGCTAACAGTATAGCAATAAAAACGTATGGTAAAAAATTATTAGAACCGGATTTAGGGCTACGCAGATCTTTTAACTGGCCTTTTATCATTGTGGATGTCAATAAACTTATCATTGGAATACTTTCTTTCACATTTTAATTTGTTAGTCGATAGTAAAAATAGAAAATTAATCGATGGCACCACCTCATTAACGACTAATAGTACTTTGTGCAATAGTAGCTTCCTTACTAATATTTTTCAAAACCAATATAGAGACATTCTAATAAATTTTCTAACTTACTTAAACCCAACATAAAAAATTATAAACTTACAGAACACAATGTGCAGCATTACATCGAAACCAAAGGTAACCCCAATTGCTGTAAGGTCTTTGAAGAACATCCAAAAACAGCTGGTCAAGTCTCACTTTAAAAAAAAACTGGTGACTAGAGACTATGGGGTGATTACCATGGTCTTAATGCAAATATCATACCAGACAGTTACCCACTACCATTTCTAATGGATTGGTACACATATTCTGCATGGAAAAATGATTTTTTCAACCATAGATTTGATAAGAGTTTACCAACAGATTCCTGTTTATGAAGCTGTTATACCAAAGATTGCCACCTTTTAGATGTCAAGCCTTGCTTTAACATCTAGAGGAAAGATGACTCTGTTATTTGTTAAAAACCACGGTTTTCAGCAACTAAACAGAGTTTATGATACCATGTTCCATGGCAATTAAAATTTTTATAATGTCTGCTGCCACTCCTTTAAGTTTGTTGCTTCCATTAACAGAATACACGGTGTAATGTATTTTGCAGTAATTTACAAACAGACAATCTTCTGAGTAGAACATAAATTTTATTTCTAGTTCATGGTGATAGACAACTTTTATACAATTCTTAAGTGGCAAAATTTCATACTACTCCTAGCTGTAAAATCTTCAGAATCCTAATCTTTTTAAAACAATATCTCATGTTACTGAGTAACGGTTTAATACAAATATGGCATTGCCACTTCAACAATAAATTATATTATTTTATTAAATACAAGATATTACAACCTCTCCCCCTCCAGATAAACTTTAATTTATATTTTTATAAATTAAAGTTTTTTTTTTTTTTCAAAATGACAATATCAGCACAATACAGAGTTTTTTAAATACAAGATATAACATAAACTGAGGAAGAGAGGAAGGAACAAAATATTTTTTTTATCTATATAGAGAAACAAATTATTTAATCAGGCCAGGGAGTACGACTTATCTACATTTTTATGGTTTTTACCACTTCAATGAACGATCGTGTAATTGTAGGGTTGTAGTACCAGTGCCCATCTCATAAGTCGTGGATTTAGACTCACATTATTTTTGAGCCAAACTAAGGGATTATGATCGGTCATGATGAGGAATTTAGTATGCCCGTCTAAATAACATTGAAGTTTCCTTACAGCAAATATTATGGTGGCGCATTCCTTTTCTGTGGTAGAGTACTTTTTTTCAGTTTCTGTAAACTTCTTACTGAAGTATAATACTGGATGTTTATTGTCTCGTTCGCGGCCGAGCGGTAAAGACGCTGAACACTGGTAGTTCGGTCCGAGGTTCGAATCCCGCGAACGGGCTGGCTGCATGGGCGTTTTCGTGGTTTTCCCCATGTGTAACGTGTATACGAGCCAGTTTCCCTTAGAAAGTCTTCCACGAAAGGCATCCCTTCCCTTAGGCAGATAGCCCTAGTGCGCTTTGCCATAATTAAATACACACACAACACTCATTGTCTCGTTCATCTTTTTGAGCTAAAATGACACCCATACCAGAGTTTGAAGCATCAGTTTGCAAAATAAACTCCTTATTGAAATCAGGTAGGTGCATGTAGTATAGGCCTTTGAGACAATTTCTCCTTTAGCTCTTCAAATGCTTTTGTGCACTCTTCTGTCCAATTTATTTTCTCTAAGTTTCCTTTCAAAGTTTCTGTTAAAGGTGCTGCAATAGATGAGAACATGGGAATGCAATGATTATAATATCCCGCTAATCCTAAAAATGCTCTGACTTGACTTTTTGTGGATGGCACTGGAAAATCAAGAATAGCTTTTACTTTCACTTCACTTGGCATTCTTATACCACGACCTACAATATGTCGTAGGTATTTTACTCTATCTTGAGCAAATTTACATTTTATTGGTTTAATAGTTAAACCAGCGCCCTTTATTTTGGACAAAACGGCTTTCAGGTGACTTAGATGTTCTTCCCAGGTGTTTGAAAAGATTGCCACGTCTGTGACGAACCTGCATTTATCCATGGCGGCCCGTAGAGCAATCACAAAGCATCCGATGGTTCAGTTTTTCTACTGCTATTTATTTTCCGTTATATTTACATATTTACAACTGTCCTATTGTTAGGTGGACTACCTTCACAGAAATCATGTTGCCTAATCAAACGATATTTCGTTTCTACTTACATGCATTGCGCTACTGCCAAGCAGCGCCCTCTACTTCTTTCTTTACAACACTCCTCACCTGTTCACACAAACCGAATACAAAATAAACCAGTATTTCTAAATCAAACACAACATTTGAATACTCTATAAACTACATCAAATTACAAATAACAATTAAGTAATGTTTAAACACGTTAAATCAACTTATAAAGTAATTACTAAATAAGAAACATTATACTAAATCAAAATTCGCAATAATTATATAAACTAAACTACATTTAGCAAAAATCAATAAAGATACTCAGATGATATATGTGCAAACAACAAATTTTAGATTATTACACAATAACTCTTTACTACTACTTATGCACCAAGGTTGTACAGCAATTGTACTAGTCTCTTTAGATTACCTGTTTGAGTTTTAATGAGACAAGAACGAACCTGACCATCTCTGCCAGGATAAGTTTTCTATTATCTTACCTAGTGTCCACAAATTCCTAGGTAAACGGTCGTCATGTACAAAGGACTACGTAATTAACATTAAACCATGGACCTTATAAATAAGGTCCATGATTAAACTGACCAGACACTTTAGTAGGTGGACATAAATTCCACAGATCTTAAAGAAAGCAAGTAATCCTTCCTCCACCTATTCCAAAAGTGGTTTAACAAGGTTTGTTGATGTTTATACCTTTTGATCAAGGAATGTCTAGACCCAATCAAGTCTTCTCTGCACACTCTTGTAACTGGAAGAGAAAGTAAACGTTTACCAATTAAGAAATGAGCAGGAGTTAGCCAGGTGAGGGTTCTGAAGGGTCATTGTAGACATACGTTATGGGTCTTGAATTAATTATGGCTTCGATTTCTACGAAGACTGTTTCTAGCTCATTCAAACAGAGACTAGAACGTCCAACTATTTTCCTTAAACAAGTTTTGATCGTTCTAAAATGCCTTTCCCAGAACCCTCCCCACCATGCTCCTTTTTCCACAATAAACTTCCATGTTATACCGTGGGAAGAAAACAAATTTTGTACGGATGGGTGTTGAATACACTTCCAAATTTTTCGCAACTCGAGATCAGCACATTTGAATGTCTTGGCATTGTCTGAATATATCGTTGAGCACAATCCACGACGAGAAATAAACCTGCGAAATGCAAGCATAAAATTCTCCACGCTCATAGAAGGGACAAGTTCTAGATGTAAAGCTCGAGTTGTAGCACATGTAAACAAGAGCAGATAATGTTTAGGGTTTTCATCCGCAGAGAACCCGTTGGCGCTTCGGGAAAGAACCCGCTGGCGCCGTTGCATTTTTACTCGCCA